GGGGGTTTGATTGTCATTGGCAGTGGTGGGGTGATGGTTACAAGTGTTGGTGGTGTTCACAGATTATTTGATCGTTTGTGATCATTAAATTCATTAATTTGTGACCGATAAACAATATAAATTGTGACCAATAAATAATGTATGACTTAAAAAATTGTTAATTTGTGACCGGTAATTTGACAATTTGTGACTGTCTACCAAATTGTGACTTATAATATTTGTGGTTTGTGATCGATGAATAAGTTGTGACGTATAAATTTTTTTATTTGTGACCGATGAATAAATTGTGATTTATAAAATTTCTGATTTGTGACCGATGAACAAATTGTGACATATAAAATTTTTGAATTATGTTCGTAAAATAATTTGTAACGTTCCAATTTTTTATTTGTGATCAATGAACAAATTGTGACTTATAAAAATTTTGAATTATGACCGTAAAATAATTTGTGACATGTAAAATTTGTGATTTGTAACCAATTAATAATATGTGACCAATTATATAGAATTTGTGATCAAATTATATGAAATTGTGATCTTAATATATTTAATTAGGGGCTATCTGGGAGCAATTTTCCCCAAGATTTTAATCCATTTTTGTACCGTTGGTAGCCGCACATGTTGACGTCCTCATCACAATTGGTGGGACCCTCATTGCTATTAACGGTCAAGAAAGCAATTATTTGGACCAAAAAATTGTGCCCAGACAAGGGCGTAATAAAATATATGTTTAATTAATTAATTTATAAATAGAATTTTAAAAAATCTGAGATTTAAAATTTTAAACTTTAAAAAATCTGAAATTTGAAATTTTAAACCTTAATCTCTTAAATTTGAAATGGGTGAATTCAACGTCTCAGTTATGAAATCTCCCCTTTAAAATTTTTTTAACTTCATTAATGGGCTCATGCACTATTGTCAAAGGCCCATAAAGGAATCATGGATGACTTGCTTCTTTTATGTATGCACGTCTCTCAAATGGTTACATTAATTCCAATATAGGATAGTGGGATAGCAAAATAATGTTAAATTACGCATCAAAACCATTTTTCAAATGCATGTCTAATCAACTTATTTGATTTTGGTTCCCAGCTAACTAAATTGTAATATTTACCTCCATATTTTCATTTATTTAATTCTTAAATTTAACTTAAGTTGTACTTCATTATTAACATAACAATGTTAGATATCATTTTCTATAATTCATATGCACAAACTACTTCAGTTTTAACAAAGCAAACTATTTTAACATATTGATTTTTAGTTTTTGAAATATTGAGACTAATTGTAGGATAATGAATCTAACAAATTTTATAGATTTTATTGTTTGTGTGTATATTTATTTATTTATTGCATCTAGTTTGATCCCGGTTCTATCTCAATTGAACCTTTTAACCCTTGATCCTTTGTAATATTAGTATAAACACTTCATTTTCATTAATGCATTTACATTTTATTGTAAATTATATTCAATTATTTAATTAAATTATTAGGGTGGTTAAGTTTTGATGATTTGTTTGTTACAAGAAATTGTGATTGTAAGATGTACTACACAAAAAAAGGATCTTATTTTGTCCATGGTCGTTATTAAGGATCTTAATTATGGAGACTAGCACGTATCACATTTCTTTCTTGTGAAGAAAGTAAGTGGTCTCACAAGCTAAAATGTTGAGATATTTGAATGGATATATGGATGAGTT